TGTACCTGCAGTGAGGTGTACCTGCAGTGAGCTGTACCTGCTGTACCTGCAGTGAGGCTCACGCTGCCCAGCCTGGCCAGCCTGTCTGAAGCAGAACTCGGAGCAGACAGGTGTATTACTTTAAAAGCAAACCACGGTCATGCTCGGTTTTTTTCTCTAAAAATGTGATCACACTGCGGGCATACAAACGCGCAGCCTGTCCCAGACAAACAGTCCAGAGGTCTCTTATACTGTAAGTGGAGACATGCATGAGCAGAGAACAGTAAAGGAAGTGGAATACATATTTTATAAGGCACCGTGGAACTGCGGTGGGTATTTTGTACAGTGTTTCAGTGGGCTCGCACATCTACCAGCAGGTACAGCGCACGGTACGCATGCCTACACGTGACGGCGAATAAGGAGCTGGTAATGCAATTAAGGTAATTCTAAGCGAAAGTTAATTAATTCTTAGATTGCTTTTTAAAACTCTACAGTAAAGCAGAATGTGTATGATTATGGCAAAGTAAGTACAGGCCCCACCTGATTCAAACTCCTATTTTTTTATGGGGGCTGTGTGCTTGCTCCGTGGGTTGGGAAAAGAATGGAAAAGCTCGCATTTCAAGCCCAGCTTCGATAAATCACATCAACGCAGGTGGTTGAACATGTGGGTGGAAAGATGAGCACGTCGCCAGATAGCAAACAGTCAAATTAATAAATGGTAGTTAAAAATAATAATAGACACGACGTTATATTGATAAATTAGAAAAGTTCCCCTGTATTTGTTAGAATTAGCTTCCATTACTTCGCAAGTGCGCAAATGCAATTTGCATCCGCCCAATCCATTACAATGGCAGCGGTAGTCATTTACAGGCTTAACACATTACAGTGGGCAGTCAGATTAATGCCAGCTGGGGAATATTCCGAGGCGCAGAGTGGCCTGATTTCTGGCGGAGCTCTGGGAAACAGCCCCAGAGCTGCTGTACTATGACAGATTACCAATACTGAAGTCTCATGACGCCTTATCGATCCCCTACCTTGTTTAATTCATTTGCCTCCTTTTTTTCCACAACACTAAGAAATATAGATGCCTTGATGGTTATGAAGCCATATAATGTTACAAATCAGTGCAGACAAATAGATTTACTGCATTTTGCTTGGTTTCAGTAACGCTGCGATATATCCGGGAAATAAACCTGTAAACGGTACCGACTGCAGACAGACCCTGGTTTGTGAGACAGCGTCAGGGGTTGCTTCAACCTCAAGCAATAACTGAAACGCCAGACGCCTGCAATTAAAAAAACAGGCTGTAAGAGTATAAGAAAGGTTCCAAATGAGAGGAGGCCATTTTATATTTTATCCTTAATATAAGAAAGTACTTAAACAGTGTGAAAGTATTGGTGACCACTTGAAAGGGAGATATGCCAGCAGTTAGAAAACTGTAATCTATATGAAAACGTAAAATGTAAAAGCTTTCATTTATACAGTAGATGTTGAAACTTTCGGGAGAAAAGCAGAACTCTCACAAAACAAGCATTGCAGGGCCTCTCCAAACCAGAAAGCAGTGGATCTCTGCGACTCTGTGCACGTCTTTCCTGGACACCAGATTAACACCTCAGACACAGGCACAGGGAACAACACCATCTGTGTAGCTAGATAACAAGACACTCCAAGATAACAACACCAGGGCCATAGGTCCTCTGTCTCAATGGCCTCCTAGCGCAGGTATCAGAACTCGCTTTTATAAAACTGTCTGCAAGAGTCTTTAACTTTGTGCACAGGGCTTATAATCAATTGCAGAATACACAGATCTCATCTTAGTTTATTGGCATGCATCGTGAGACAAACTCTCTGAAAGAAACTGGCCCCTTTGAAATGTTTTCTAGGGCATTATGTGTAACAATCTGAATCAATCTCAAAGGAGAATCTGCCTGCCTTTTATTCCAAGGTGTAGCATTACAAACCACATCCTTCTACCATTTCATTCGACCAGTCTAACTCTTCAGTACTAACAGAAAAATAAAAAATATGCTTTGTGAACAACAACAATAATAATTCTAAAATATTACATATTTTCCTTAAGGAAATGTATGGGTCTGTGAAATGTATTGTTTACTAACCAAGTCATTGTTGTTGTTACTGTTTTTTTTATTTTGGAACGATCAATGTTTCAGTGGGGTTTGCTGAATGTGGTGGCTATTATTCAATAGCAGTAGTCTGTTATTCAAGGCATGTCTAAAATCTCAAGGTGAGAAAGATTTTAAGACCTGTTTTTTTGGCAGGCTCTGCACTGTGCTCAGTGGGAAACAGACCCATAAATCCGTGAATATTCAGGATGCGTCCTGACGTTCTGCAGTCGGCTGCCACCTGTTCTGAGCGCAGTGAATATCCTCTAGTGACGTCTGAGCTCCAAAACAGACCATCCTTCGTTGCCAGGGAAAGATATTTTTGTATTGTATAGATTACACAAATACCTGAGCAGGTTCTGCCCAAAGTAACTTCCCACCCTCGCCCAAAATGCAGTCTGGCTTATCCAGTTCACACCCCACTCTCCGAGTTCTTCCCCGACTCCCCCTGACTTCAGGCAGCTCTGTAGCATACCTGTACAGATCACCTGCGTCTCTTCAGATCGTATCAACATTTTGGCTTTTACCTTTAACAAAAACCTTTAATAACACCTGCATTGGCACACTTCAGTTCTATATCAGGTGCTGTGAGAGTTACAAATGTTTTTCAGCCACTGGTCCTGGGATTCTCACAATACAGGAACGTACACTGGTGCTCCTGTCACAGGAAGGGCCAGAGCATCAGAGTGAGCACTGCACACAGCTGACCATTACATCTATGTACAGGCATTATACACATAACCAGGATTTCTGGAGCCTTTAGTGGGGAAAGTTATTACTGTTGACTCATCAACACCCAAACGCACTCACTCTGAGCTGTTCCTTAGCATTTTCCACAGTTCCATGGCATCTCGATGCCCAGTCAGGAATAATTCTGATGCAAGGAGGCAGGCAGGCTTCTCTCACTGCAGTGGTGGCAGACCTAGACGAGCTGGAGCCGAAGAGCTGATCCTCTGCCATCCGAGCATGAAAGGTTGCTGAGGGCCGAGCACCTCCAATGCACCTTCAATGCTTCTCCCTGCGAAGCAGCGCTTTTCTGGTATGTTTTCTTACACTGTTTACAGCCTGTTGTGTGTGTGCATTTCATTTATAGGATGGCATAATTAGAAACAGTT